GCAGACTGAGGAAGGTACCTGAACTGTGGGTTGGCATTCTGTTCTGGGATAAGGAACGCTATGTGGTAAACAGAGAGAGGAATGTGTTTAGAAGCCATTAACATCAGCTGTGTGGCTTAGACCCCAGGAGTAGAGTAGAGTCTTCTTTCCAGCTGTTAGCCTAGTCTGAAGCCTGAGGAATAGTAACCAGGACAAGAATTCCCAAGCCAAAGGGAAGGCCTGAAGTTTGTCAGTATATACCAGAAAAACGTCCTAGCTGAGTCCAGCAGCAATCTATTGTTGTTCATACCTAAACTCAGGTGAGGAACTTGAAGAGCTTAGAACAGGGGGTCAGTGATAAGACTTTGCCCTCAGTCGAATTACTTTGGGAGCACTGAAAGCTTTCGGGCCTCTGGCCTGAGCTGTGCCTGAGATCCCGGAACAATATGACACTTATACCCTAAGAAAGCAACAACAGGTCTAATCTAGACCTTCCTTCTGGTAACACAGCACAGCCTAGTCCTAACATCAAGTCTTAAGACAGGGAGTAGGCTAGAAGAATGAGAAAAAAAATAATTTCATCATAAAAATCTATTATAGTAATAGGTACATTCAAGACATAAATCTAGAAAAAGAAAACAACTCCAAAACATCTACATGCAAAATCTTAAAGAAAAACATAACATGGACACAAATTCAACTAGAATTTGTGGGAGAGATAATGCAAGAGTTTTAAAAAGTGTTAAAATTTTTTTTAAATAAGTGAAATTAGAGTGCCAAAGGTGAAAATGGAAAAGAAATGAGAGCTATGGAAGAAAGAATTGGAAAGGGAATTATCAGCATGACAAGAGTTACAAAACCTTGCTGATGCAACAAACTTCAGAAAAATTATAATGGACCAAATAAAAGTTAGTGGCTACATGAGACAAGAAATGTTAAAAAAAAAGTCAAAAGACTGAAAAAAATGAAAGAAAATATGAGGTACGACACAGCAAAAACAACTGGCCTAGAAAACATATTGAGGAGAAAAAATTTAAGGATCATTGGAATACTGAAAAGCCATGACTAAAAACAAAAAGAGCACAAACATATTTCAAGAAATCTTAAAAGAAATCTATTAGAAACAGAGGCAAAGTGAAAACAGAAAAAAAAATCCATCAGTCTTCTTCTGAAAGAAACCCCAAAATGAAAACTCCAGGATTAGTATAATTCAAAGTCACAGGCTTCAGGTCAAGGAAAAATTCCTGCAAGCATCCTGAAAGAAAACATTCAAACACTGAGGATCCACAGTGAGGACCCCGAGTGATTTAATAGCCACCACTATGAAAGACCAGAGAAGTTGAAAATACAATATTCTAGAAGGCAAACGATATAAACTTACAGCTGAGAATAGTTCAGGAAAAGTGAATGTAACACTACCAGGGTACCAGGGTACCATGACAAGAACAGAGGCCAACTGGTAGCTTTGTCACTACCCAGTTCCAGTTCACAGATTTAGGGCAGACTGAGGCAGGCACCTGAACTGTGGGTTGATATTCTGTTCCAGGGTAAAAATGGACCTTAAATTAAATCAAAGATTTCCAAGTATTCCTCAGGGCTACCAGTGCTACACAGGAACTTCAAAGTTCAAAAACAGTAGTTATGAGAAACATAAAAAGGTAAGTACAAATGAACAATCATAAAGGACTATACAAGAATAAATTGCTTACATTCAAATATAAGGGATGATGCATGTGTCCTCTCTGAAGCTTAACATCATCAGAAGTCAAAAGGGAAGTCTAATTAGATAAGAGAGTGGTTCTGTTATGACTTGATCTTAAGAGGAGAATGGAAAGAGAGGAATAGACTAAAGAGGGGTGGGAAAAGAAAGTTAGGGAAAATTATCTCACATAATCAAGGAGTTCAAGGATGAGGAAGGAGTGGAGGAAAATGGCTGACACTTGAACTTTACTGTCATTTGAACTGGACAAAGGAGAGAAGAATACACACACAGAGCTGGGTACAGAAATACATTTCACTTAACAAGGGAAATAAGATAGAAAGGAAGGGAGAAGATGGAATTAGAAGGTAGATTAAGTGAAGGATTAGTCCTAAGAAAAACAAGCTCTACCTAAAGATGTATAAAAATACTTATAACTCATTTTGATGTGGCAAAGAATGAGAAACTAAGAGGGTGCCCATAAAATGGGGAATGGCTGAACAAGTTAACGACATATAAATGTGACACAATACGAATGTGCTGTAAAAAAGTGATGAAGGGAATGGTTTCAGAGAAGCCTAGGAAGAGTCATATGAACTGATGCAGAGTGAAATGAACATTACCAGAACAATTTACACAATGACAACATAATGGTAAAGACAAACAAATGTGAAAGAATTAGAAATTCTGATCAGTGAAATGAACAGCAATGATTCCAGAGGACTAATGAAAAAATATGCTTCCTGTCTCTGATAGAGAAGTTAAAGATTCAGAGTGCATACGCACACAAGTGTGTGCGTATGCACACATAAGTATATATGTATGTGCATATGTACATATGCACAGTGTGTATATGCACACATGTGGCTATGAACATGTACATATATGTGCACATATTGTACATATATAGTGACATGGCTAATGCAGAAATTTGTTTTGATCAACTATGTATGTTTGTAATAGGGGTTTTGTTTTTCTTTTCTTCTCAATTGAAGGCGGTTAATTGGAGGAAGAGAGAAAGAAACAAAAAGAGAGAGACAGAGACAGAGAGACAGAGAGAGACAGAGAGAGCAGATATGAATAGGTTCATAGTTGGAAGGAACTTCCAAATAAGTGAGTTTACAACTTTGAGTACAGAATCAAGTTGTCTCATAATTCCACACAATTCAGCAAGTATTTACTGAGCATAAACTATGAATAAAATTCTCCAGTGCTTTATTGTGGCCTGTAGATGACCTTGGGTTCTCAAAGGCTATGTCCCAGTTATAGAGTTTATCAAGCCCTTATCTTATAATTTTCTGATTTAGGCAGTAGAAATGTCATTTTGTGCATCTGCATGTCTTTGCCCTGACTGTCGCCCGTGCTTTATCTACATTCCCTCGACTTCACTTTTTAAGACTCTGTAGATTTTTCAACGGTCAGTTCAAGGGCCTCATTCCACAGAGAACCTTTCCTGGTTTTCTCCAGTGACTAGGGCCTTCTATCCAAGTTCACCTAGCATCTATTTTGTAGATAGATAGATAGATAGATACATAGATACATAGATACATAGATACATAGATACATAGATACATAGATACATAGATACATAGATACATAGATAGATAGATACATAGATAGATAGATACTATTTTATCAATTAGGTGCTGGTGGTTATGGGCCTGGAGTCAGGAAAACCTGAGTATGAATCCTCAACTCAGGCAAATACAACTGTATGGCCCTGGGCAAATCACTTAACCTCTGTTTGCCACAATTTCCTCAAGTATAAAATAGGGATAATATCTACCTCCCAGAGTTGAGGTAAGGATCAAAAGAGATTACATGTGTGTGTGCACTAACACATATACCCATATACATACATATGTGTACACATACATATATATGTATGTTTATATAAAAGAGATTACATAGAATATACATATGAATGTGTATGTGTGTATATAATCTCACTTGAGATTATATATACAATGTATTATAGATTGTGTAATTATATATATACACACATATACATATATACACAATGTATAATATATGTGTGTAATTATATATACACATGTACATGTATACACATACATATATTATGTATATAAGGTTTGAAAAGCACTAGATACATATATGTGTATATATTATATGAAATTATATAGCACTACATATACATATATATGTACATATATCAAATGAAAATGTATATGTATATAAAATCAAATGATGACTAAATGAAATATATACACATTTGTATTATATATAAATATCATTTGATGTATATAAATATAATCTCATTTGCTCTTCATTTGATTATATATACAAAATCTCATTTGATATATATGTATATATTCATATATGTATGATAGCGCTTTGCAAATCTTAAAATACTATATAAATGCTAGCTGCTATTATTGTTTCTCCCAGATAGCTTGTAAGGGCAGGGACTGTTGTTCTTTTGTCTTTGTATCTCTGCTACCGACTGTAGTGCCTGGTACACAGTAGGTAAATGTTGGGTGATTAAATTGACTGAGTGAATGAATGAATGAATGAATAAATGAAAAACTTGAATTTCAAAGGAACAATTAAGTAATTTGACCAAGGCCATACCTGGGCCAAAATAACCTGCTGTATATGTATCCAAAAGCTTCAAAATTTTAAATAAAACCTAGCTATCTAAAATAAGAATATTTTACATGGACATCATCACCTAGCGAGACAAGTCTAGTGACCACTATGTATTTCCATTGGCTCATACCACCAAAATCCTAAAAACCAGTAATTTATTTAGACTTCCCAGATGAGGAAACTCACTTTATCATTTCAGTTTGCCACCTTCTCTGCAACTTTTAGTCATTGACAGCTGCCTGGGCACTGAGAGGTTAAGTGATTTGCCCAGAATGACAGAGCCAGTATTTGTCAAAAGCAGAATCTTGAACACAGATCTTCCTGGCTTTAAGGTCAACTCTGTCAATTACTCCTTGATACCTCTCACTTACACCGGTGAAATCAGAGGTCTGATCCATGTTCCTCTTCCTGTTTAGACAGAGAATTCTGTCTTTGGCTTTGATCTTTATGTATCCTGCACAAATTGAAGTATACCTAAGTTACAGTGGAGCAAAATTTACTTTTAAAGCCTAGCTGTAAAACTTTGGCATTTCATGCAGTGTTACATAATGCTGCCTATATACAAGAAGGATGTTGAAGGTCAAATTTTATTAGAAAGAGGCGTGAAGGTGTCAACGGAAGAAAAAGGGTGTGGAGAGACTGTATATGTAACACACCATATCCTGATTATAGTGAGAACATGGGGAAAAAGTAGAAAGAAAGTACATTTAAGTTAATAAGGTGGGGGAGACAGTTAAGGAGTTCAGGGCGGTGGTCTGAAAGGCAACGCTGCAAGGAATCAGATTTCAGAGTTGCAGCACTGATTGCAATGAGTCACTAAAGAGCCGGAGACCCTGAGAGCTGCCTTTGTTTCATTCTCCTCCCGATGCAGACCGAGAGACAGCGGATTTCAACTTGTTGCGACTTTTTTCCTCTCTCCCTTCCCTAAGTGCAAGCTCATGCAACCAGAGTTTGTTCACTTGGGCTCCTTCAGCAAACTTTTCAAAAATGCTAGCAAGGTACAAGTTCTATTTTTTTCTTTCTCCTAAAGCAGCTTGTGACATACTTTCCATCTTAACCTATTCCTTTTCCTTGACAAACTCTTCCAGGCAGAACTGGGGGTCCTGGGGTTTGTCTGTCCTGCTCTGGCAAGCACTGATTTCTGCTGGCATCCTCACTCAGAAGACGGAAGGTAAGAAATCTTACCCCTTCCACACCCAGAGCCCAATCATTTTCAGATAAAATCAGGGGAAATAAATGATGTCCCAAACAGCAGGATGGTGATTGTAGAAAATCTAACGGTACTTGCTAACCGTTGTTCCTTAAGGAATTTGGTAAAAGTTACAGGCTGCAAATGCTCTTCATTCCTGAACATAAATGGAGAAGGAGAAAGTGATCTTTCTGCATAAAAGAACTTGTTATGAAATTATTCACTGGCAGATCCCAGTGTAACATAGAAGTTTACTACCAGTTCATGAAGTACATTGAGGCTTACAAAATACATTGATGAAGAGACACAGACAGGAGGGGAAAAGCTCTAATAAGGACTGATGAAGATGCATGCTTGGAATATTGCAGGAGAGTTGGGTGGGGTATATACACATATGCCCAGCTCCAAACTGATGCTCCAAATGAGTGTAACTATTGAATGCCATTAGATGATCTCAGCGGGTAAAATGGAAAGAATTAAAACGAAAATAAATTTGTGGAGAAAAAATTTCCCTTTCCACATGTGAAATATTTTCCTCTTTATAATGCCCACAGTGTAGACTTTGCTTTTTGGAGTGTGCCTTACTTATGGGCACATCTCTAAAAGGCAATGTGTTTTAATTCGAGGGGGAATAATTCTGGTGCTCTATTCTCTGGATAATTGTTAAGAAACCCTCCTAATAGTTAACCGTGTCCTGAAGTAGACTCGGCTGCCTCTGGAGGGAGGTTCCTGTCCCTGGAGGTTTTCTGGCTAAGGCAGGAGGACCACCTGTTAGAGATGCGGTAGAGGGAATTCACAGCTCAGGCAGAAGTTGGACAAGATTACCTCTGAGGGAGGACCTTTCCAACTCTTGAGTTTTGGGGAATTTTTGCTGATGAGTAGGTCAAATAATACTGTTTCTCAGAGGAGTTCGAACAGGTTTCTACAATATAAACTGATTTTAGAATATCCTAAAGTAATTCTCTCTCTCTAGAGTAGGCAGCAATCTCAGTGGGAACTGGTAGGTTTTGAGACTAGGGGTATCATCAGCTGCTCTTACATTGGAATAAGTGCATTTGGGGTCTCCAGCAGGCCAGGAAAGGTAAGGGATGATAACTATAGTATGTGGAAAGAAGGGGTATAAGAGAATACAACTCTCCTGGAAGAAGCTCCCAAAGTGGTAATGGGGAAGAGGGGGTTCTTGTGTATGACCCCATTATAAAGCAGGCGTTTGTAATGACAGCCCATTCCATTTTGGATAGCTCAAGGACAGTTTCCCTAATGACCCGTTTGTGAATAGAATATGGAATTATTCTATCCTGAGGACAGAACGGTACAGTGAAAAGTACATTAGAGTCAAAGGACTTGGGTTCAAATCCCACCTCTTGACACTGTGTGACCCTGGGTAAATAACAAAAATGCCCTTTTTTTCTTCCTTTTAAAAATGAGAAAAAACCAAAAAATTTCATGTAATTTAGCAAGCCCATGAATCTATTCACCCAATTCAAGATTCATTCATTCATTCATCCATTTGACAAACATTTACTATTCCTAGCTCAATGCTAGATGCATTGAGGGGACTCAGAGGTCTATAAAACATGATACCTACCAACCAGGGATAGAGATGGGACCTATGATTTTGTTGATAAGTGGAATTCCCAAATGAGGAAACTCCCTCTACTTAGGCGGGTAAGCATCTTTTCTGGAACTCAAGAATCTTAGAGAGTTGTCTGTGGCTCTGAGAGGTTAAGTGTTTTACCTGGGATCTCTCAGTTGTTAAGGATCAGAATCTGGGTCATCCTAATTCTGAGGTCAGCTGCCTTTCTACTATGCCATGTTGCTTCTCTCCAGGAAATAAAACTTGTAAAAGAACTATAATATAAGGCTTGATAAATCACATTACATTTTTTGTAAAAACTCTAAATGCTTGGATTTTTTGTCCTTTTCTCAAAATGTTTCAGGCCTGATACCTTTTTCTTATATTTTGTTGTTCAGTCATATCTGACTCTTTGTCGGGTTTTCTTGGCAAAGATACTGGAGTAGTTTGCCATTTCTTTCTCCAGTTCACTTTACAAGTAAGAAAATTGAGGCAAATAGGGTTAAGTGACTTGCCCAGGGTCACACAGCTAGTAAGTGTATGAAGTCAGACTTGACTTGGGGGCCCAGTACTCTATCCACTGTACCACCCAGTTGTACCTTTTCTTATATAGGGTCTTCATAATATCCTTGTCTACTTAAACTTGGAAACTTCTAAATTTTAAGAATTTCAGATCTCCAGAAACAATCTCAATTCTGTCCCTCCCTCACACAGGCTGGAGGTGCTGTTAACATTTTGCTTTGTTCATCACTGACCATTGCCACTTCCATATTCATGCTCTGTTACCATTATCTAGCAACTGATGTCCTTTGAAGTTGGCATACCATAACACTCTCTTGAATCCCTTCTAAGATGCTGGCCCCTTGCTCAGAATCTTTCTACCTCTTCCCCTGAAATCACATGTGAAGATTTCACTATCTCCATTAACGATCTTTCTAGGAAACTGATCCTCACAGTGTTTGACTGCCTCAATGCCCGATGACTTCTAACTCCATTCTATTTCAGCTACCCTCCAGGATGGTCATACTCAAAAATATTTCATCTCCAAGACCTGAAATTTCTCTAACTACAGTTTATTGTCTCTTCACCTCTTCTATACCTTACTTCTTCTATACTAGTTCTTCATTCTTATTGTGACCTTCCTTTGGTGTTATTTGATGAGACTAAAGGGCTTTCATAGACAAATTGCAAAAGACAGTCAGTGTTGAAGACAATGGGCTTTTTATCTTTTAGAGAAGGTCCAAAAAGGGGAGTTCACATTGCTTAAATGTAGACACCTAAGGGAGTGAGAGGAAAAGACAACAAAGCAGGGAAACTAGGGTGGACCAGCAAGCCCCTCTTTCTCAAGCCAGGACTGACATCTCCAGTCCCTGGCAGATGGCCAATCTCCCTTACATAGAAGGCCCATGCTCACACCTCCAAAGTGGTGCTGCCCAGTCCTCAATATCTTGCTTTCTCCTCAGCCAATCTTCACTCTGAGCAGCCTTTTCAGTCTCTTCCAGGCTTAAATCCTTTCTCCTCTTGACATTTGGATATGTCTGACAAATATTCAAAATGTTCTCTTCTCTCCCTAAGTCTCTAACTCTATTCTCTCTGCCTTTGCCTCTCAGACCACCTTATCTCTTACTTTTCTAAGAAAAGTCATGCCCTCCCATATGACCTCTTTTACTTCTTCCAAACCTTCTGCTATCTTCATCCATCCTCCTTTCCCATAGTCTCAGAGGAAGAGGTGACCTACATTCTTTCCAAGGCTAGCTCTTCTGTCTGTACTTTCAGTCCCATTTCTCTCCTTAAGTATTCTCTCTTTCTCTGTCTCTCTCTGTCTGTCTCTCTCTCTCTGTCTGTCTATCTCTCTCTGTCTCTCTCTCTGTCTTTCTCTCTCTCTGCCTCTGTCTCTCTGTCTGTCTCTCTCTTTGTCTCTCTCTCTCTGTCTCTCTCTCTGTCTCTGTCTCTCTCTCTGTCTCTCTCTCTCTTTCTTCTTCCTTCTTCCTCCTTCCTCCCTCCTTCCCTTCTCTCCCTCCTCCCTTTAATTTAGACTACAAATATGCCTGGATTTTCTCCATTCTAAAAAAAAATCATCCATTAACCCCACTGCTTCCTAAAACTGTCATCCTGTATCTGTCTTCTCCTTTCCTGCCAAACTTCTAGAAAAAACAGTCCAAACTTGCTTGACTCTATTACCTTATTACTCTACCTGTTGCAATTTGACTTCTTTCCCAACCACTCTAATAAAACATAGCTCTCTTCAAAGACAATAATGTCCTCTTCATTGCTAAATCCAAATGGCTGGGGTTTTTTTATTCCTATGGGTAGAATAGTAGAAATAGAAGTAGTAAATATAGCAGAAAGAATAGTCAGCTTTAAATCCTAGTTCCACCACTTAACTTGGGCAAGTCATTTAACATTCCCAACTCTTTTTAACTTGGGCTCAAATAAAAGAATGTATGCCAGGTATCTTTAAGTCATTAAGCAGTATTCAAATGTGAGCCATTATTGCCACATTCCCCCTTCTTGATGTCTCTGTAGTATTTGACTTTATTGAGGACCTCATGCTTCTTAACAGTCTCTCCTCTCTTTGCTTACATAATGCTACTCACATGATACTCCACCTTCCTCTGATCATTGCTTCTGTTTTGTTTGCTGGTTTCCCATTTTCATCCTTCTCCTAAAACATGGATCTCTCTTCCCCTCCACTCCTCTTCCCACACCTCCTTTCCCCTCCCATCCTTTAATATTTTCTCTTTTCCTTTCCCCTCTTACTTCCTCTCCTTCACTTTCTCTCCTCTCCCTATCTCTATACTTTCTCCTTTTCCAAGGAGTCAGTTATCACCTCTGCAGATGACTTCCAAACCTATATTTCTACCTATCTCTCCTCTGAGGTGCAGTCCATTAGTTTTTATTGCTTGCTAGTTATTTTGTCCTGGATTTCAAGTGCTGGGTGGCACCATAAACTTGATATGTTCATAACTGAACTCTTTATCTTCCCCTCAAAACTTGATGAATCCCTCTTAACATCCCTGTTTCTGTTGATGGGTCCTTCAAGCCCTCAGATATCTGCCACCTCCTCCCTCTGTCTCTGTACCTCTATCTCCCACCGCCCCCCCCACACACACACCACGTCCAATCTGTTGCCACATCTCACCAATTCAGCCTTACCAATAAGTCACAATTTGATCTCCATCTTTCCACTCCTGTTGCAACCATCCTTAGTTCAGGCCCTTATCTTTTCCTGATGACACTATTGCTGTAGTCTCCTATCTGCTTATCCATTTTCTGGTTTAACCCTTCTCTAGTCCATCCTTCATGTCATTTTCTAGGTAACATAGTTCAGTGGACCTAACTTAGTCTCCTGAATCTACTACTTACAACTATGTGAACTTGGGCAAATCAGTTAGTGTTTCTGGGT